TATTTTATTTTTTTTGTTACTGTTGTTGTTGTTTAGCAGGCCCTGGCCAGGTTTGACCCCAGCAGCCCTGGTGCATGTGGCCAGCGCCCTAATCACTGAGCTACACAGGCACCGAGCCCAAATATGTTCTTATTTTAAAATAGTTAGTGTGGACTTCCTACTTATCCCTGAACTGGACATTTTGCTGCACACTGTTATTTGTTCAACAAATGTCTTTTGAGAGCCTTCTATTTGTCAGTCCCTATTTTAGGCACCTTGGATTTAACAGTGCCCAGACTCTAAGGAGAGAAGCACGTTCCAGTAAATAAATAAATGGGGCCCAGCACGGTGGCTCACACCTGTAATTCTAGCACTCTGGGAGGTTGAAGTGGAAGGACTGCTGAGGTGGAAGGTGCTCAGGAGTTCAAGACCAGAGTGAGACCTTGTGTCTACTAAAAAAAATAGAAAAAGTAGCCATGCCTTGTTGTGGGCACCTGTAGTCCCAGCTACTCTGGAGGCTGAGGCAAGAAGATTGCTTGAGTTTGAAGTTGCTATGAGCTGTGATGCCACAGCTCTCTATTAAGGGCAACAGAGTGAGACTCTTGTTTTTAAAAATAAAATTAAAAAAGGAAGGAAGGAACAAGGAAAGGAAGGAAAGAAAAGAAAAGAAACACTTAGGCATATAACGTGTTAGGTGGTGATATGTTGATAAGCGCTGTGAAGTGGACCGATAAGGAGACTAGAGGGTAAGTGGGGTGCTACTTTATATATCTCTATAGGGTCTTCTATTTCCCCCAAGCTTGCTTTCTGTGTCTTGACCACATCTACGTGTTTTCCCCAGCTGGCTTGAACATTCCCAGGTACTGATAAAAGTACCTAGGTTGTTGCCCAAAACAGTGAAAGAGGCTCGGCCCCCGTAGCACAGTGGTTGTGGCGCCAGCCACATGCACCGAGGCTGCCGAGTTCGAACCCAGCCGGGCTTGCTGAAGAACAATGACAACTGCAACAAAAAATATCCAGGTGTTGTGTCAGGTGCCTGTAGTCCCAGCTGCTTGGGACACTGAGGCAAGAGAATCGCTTAAACCCAAGAGTTGGAGGTTGCTGTGAGCTGTGACCCCACGCTACTCTACCAAGGGCGACATAGGGAGACTCTGTCTCAAAAAGAAAATTAAAAATAAAACAGTGAAAGAAACTGGCCCCAGCCCTTAACTAAATTCCATAAACCATCATGTATTCTCCATACTCTGCCCTCCACTATGGACATATAACTATGTAGAACCTCCTCTTTTCTCTTACTTTGTGTCTGAGGATTGCTGCAGCATGGGGAAAGTTCCCTTAATAAATGTTTGAGACTGGCTCGGCGCCTGTGGCTCAAGCGGCTAAGGCGCCAGCCACATACACCTAAGGTGGCGGGTTCGAATCCAGCCCGGACCTGCCAAACAACAATGATGGCTGCAACCAAAAAATGGCCAGGCATTGTGGTGGGCGCCTGTAATCCCAGCTACTTGGGAGGCTGAGGCAGGAGACTCACTTGAGCCCAGGAGTTGGAGGTTGCTGTGAGCAGTGAAGCCAGGGCACTCTACCCAAGGGCTCAGCTTGAGGCTCTGTCTCAAAAAAAAAAAAAAAAATGTTTGAGACTGATTACCCTGGCTTTAATGCTTGTTTTGTTTTTGTTGTTGTTTTTTAAGACAATTTCACTCTGTTGCCTAGGCTAGAGTGGGACAATGTCAGCCTGGCATAGCAACCTCAGACTCCTGGGTTCACACTCTAGCCTGGGGCAACGGAATAAGATTCTGTCTCAAAAACAACAACAAACTCCTGGGTTCAAGCAGTCCTCCTGCTTCAACCTCCCAAGTAGCAGGGACTACCACCACACTGCTTAATTATTCTATTTTTAGTAGAGATAGGGGTCTCCTTTTGCTCAGGCTGGTCTCTAATTCCTGATCTCAGGCAATCCTCCTGCCTTGGTATCCCAGAGTGATAGGATTATAGGCATGAGCCACCTCGCCCACCTACTTCTTCTTTCTTCAGAATCCCAACTGCCCCACCTCAGGAGGGTTGGGGTACTCTCTTGTGGGAACTCTCCTGCCCTTTTTGGGTGATTCCTGACCTGGGTCCAGCAGAATGCAACCAATCTCTAATAGGGGGAGATTTGGGCAGGGAAGAGAGTGAGCTGTACAGCCCTCTGGTGAAGATCCTTGCCTCCCATTGGGAGTTCTATGGGACCTGGGCCCAAGGTGGGCATGGGCCAGGCATGTTGGAGGAACACTGAGGAGGCTGCTGTAATCTAGGGGGAGAGCAGTAGAAAATGGCTGGAGCCCTTATAGGACCCTCAAAGGACTTGGTTTGTGGTCAGGTGGGGTGGCTTGTGCCTATAATTGTAGCACTCTGGAGTTTGAGATCAGCCTGAGCAAGAGTGAGACCCTGTCTCTAAAAATACCCAAGCATTGTGGTGGGTGCCTATAGTGCCAGCTACTCTGGAGGCTGAGGCAAGAGGATTGCTTGAGCCCAAGAGTTTGAGGTTGCTGTGAGCTATGAACCCTGATATTCTACTGAGGGCAACAAGGTAATACTCTGTCTCAAAAAGAAAAAAGGGGGGGCTCAGCCCCTGTGACTCAGTGGTCAGGGCGCTGGCCACATACACCGGGGCTGGCAGGTTCGAACCCAGCCCAGGCCTGCTAAACAACAATGACGACTACAACAACAAAAAAATAGTTGGGAGTTGTGGTGAGCACCTGTAGTCCCAGCTACTTGGGAAGCTGAGGCAAGAGACTTGCTTAAGCCCAAGAGTTTGAGGTTGCTGTGAGCTGTGACACCACTGCACTCTTAACTGAGGGCAACATAGTAAGGCACTATCTCAAAAAAAGAAGAAAAAAGGACTTGGTTGTGCTCACTGAGAGCACACTGGGAGCTCACTGGGAGCTATTTGGGGGTGTTGAGTAGAGGGCTGACATGTCTGATGCTTCATTAAAAGGGTCACACTAGCTTCTTTGTTAGGAAGCAGAGGTACAGCAAGGGAATCACTCAGAGGCTTGCAGTGATCGGGAGCTAGTTGGTGGTAGCACATGCACCAGGGGGCGTCTGGCCAGACAGTGAAGGTGCAGGGTGGTACCAGCAGCCATTGTGGGTATGAGGGAGCAGCCAGGAGGACGTGAGGTTTTTAGCCTAAGCAAGTGGAAGGTCTGTCTGCTGTTTAGGGAAATAGAGCAGGCTGCAGTGGCTGTGACATGTCACACATTGAGTTGGCGAAAATGAGGTCACTGTGACCTGTGTCACCTCATTTAATCCTGACAAGACTCCTGTGAGTAGTCATTATTAATCCCATTTTATACTCTAGGAAAGAGAAGCTCAAATTGTGGAAATAAATTGCCCTAGGCCACACAGCTAGTTAAGGAACAGAGCTAAGATCCCAGCCAAGGTCCCTCTGACCCCAAAGCCTCCGAGAGTGGGCGTTTTCTGTGATACTTTCTCTGCATAAATCCAGTGGAGTAGTCCAGTCCAAACAGCCTCCATGCTACCGATGAAAGCTCCTTGGAGTGATACTTTGTGTTTGGAAAGTGCTCAGAAAAGAGAGACTTGTTCCCTCTCTTTGGTGCTGGCAAGAGGTGGCATGAGAGAGAGGCTGATGCCAGCACCCTCTCTTGTGGCTTCCTCCAGGTGACTGGAGCCTGGAGGAGACGGTGGCTTAATAGGCCTAGCAAATGAAGACAACTTTGACTCAGGTTTAAACAGCAACCTCTCAACAATAATGAAAGATTATAAGTGGGGAAAACGTTTATAAAAATAGCACTTAATAGTTAACTGGAAAACAATATAGTTTTGCAACCACTGGTTTCACAATAAAATAATTGGGTCCCAAGTCAGGGAATGACCTGTGTTCAAGAATAATTATACTGATCGTTGGAGCAAAAATTCCCCTTCCAAAAGCAATTCAGAGGAAATACATTAGGCCAGTCAGGCATGCCTAGTGTGAAATCCCAAGAGGCTGTGAGAGAAGGTAGGAAAGAGCCACAGCTAATGAGGAAGCTGGGGTCCTGGCCCCCTGGGTACATGCAGGTTTGGTTCTTGGTTGGGAGAGGGGAAGCAGTAGGACTAAGGCGAGCACCTGTAGTCCCAGCTACTTCAGAGGCTGAAGCTTCAAGAGATACGCTTAAGCCCAAGAGTTAGAGGTTGCTGTGAGCTGTGACACCATGGCATTCTTACTGAGGGTGACATAGTGAGACTGTCTCAAAAAAAGAAAAAAAAAAGGACTTGGTTGTGCTCACTGAGATGGGAGCTGTTGGGGGGTGTTGAGCAGAGGGTTGACATGTCTGATGCTTCATTAAAAGGGTCACAGTAGCTGCTTTGTGGTTAGAGGCTGCAATGACCTAAGCTCTCCCAAGGAATAAGAGTGTGTCCACTGAAATATCAGTTCTTTATGTTGTTTAACTCATTGGGTGTTTTATTTGTTTTCTTTTTTTTTTTTTTCCAGGAGAGATTGACTAGCAGCAAGTAGCATTTGGGGGGGGGGGGCTGGGGCTGAGTTTGAATCTGCCACCTCTGGTATATGGGACTGGCACCCTACTCCTTTGAGCCACAGGCACTGCCCAGCAAGTAGCATGTTTTAATAGAAAAAGGGACAGGCTCATTTCAGCCTCCTTTTGCTATGAACAAGAGAATGTGACCCAAGTATTTTCTCTCTTCCTTACACTGATACATAGACCTGGTTATGGAGTCACTCGGCCATTCATTCTGTAAAGAGTTATCAAACACTGGGTGGCACCTGTGGCTCAAAGGAGTAGGGCGCTGGCCTCATATGCCGGAGGTGGTGGGTTCAAACTCAGCCCCGGCCAAAAAGTGCAAAAAAAAAAAAAAGTTATCAAACACTCCCTTTAACATAACTGTTATAATAGGGAATATGGATTGAGTGCTTACGTGGGCCAGACACTATTCTAAGCACTTTGTATATTATCTTATTTACTTTTCACAGCAACTCAGAGAAGTAATCGCCATTAGCTCCATTTTACAGATGAAGAAACTGAGTCAAAGAAAGGTTAAGTAACTTGACCGACATAACTCACCTGGTAAGTGACAGACTGTAAACATAATGCTAGAGACAGGCACAAGACAAGCTAGACATGGCTTATGGCTTCACGGAACTTGTTTTATCTAACATTTAAAAATAGTCTTAGTTGGCTCGGCGCCTGTGGCTCAAGTGGCTAAGGCGCCAGCCACATACACCTAAGGTGGCGGGTTCGAATCCCCAGCCCAGGCCCGCCAAACAACAA